CCTTACATTTTTCCACATTATACTGCATCTCCTATGCATTTGCCCCCTCACTCAACCTGTGCATATCACACTGCAACATCTCTCCGCACCCTCCTCACAGCTGACCCTTCCATCCTGCTTTGTGTCATCTGCATATTTAGAGATATTACATTTAGTTCTCTCATCTAAATCATTAACATGTGTTGAATTTGTGTCCTTACTAAACATCACCTATGCAGTGTTCTTCGTATGAAGGCAGACTTAGCATATTCTATTCTCTTCAAACAAGCCTTTTTTAATTAGATAACTAACTGCACCAAATTGTGGAAAAGAAGTGAAAATTAATTCAGCTCATATTTTAAAATACATGTAGACAAATCTGTAAATCCCAAGAAGTAGATTTCTCATATTGCTGTCAGACTTATGACCGGTCCTCTCATCTTAGAGTTGATCTTTCTCTGCACCTTCTCTGTAGCTGTAACACTATATTCTCCATTCGGTTCTATTCCCTGATGTACTTTTGTAAGGTATGATTTGTTTGGTTACTTTTCACTGTATATCAGTTCATGTGACAATAATAAAGCAAATCACTATATCAAATCAAAACATTTTAGTCCAAGTTCACTGAATTCTAAACATTTACCATATACATGTACATATTGTAATGTTACGTGTTAGATTAATGCAAGTCATAGAGCACTTTCCATACTTTTGTTTAAACCTACATTGGAGAACCCTGCAGGTATAATAAAGAAGTTGATCTATGCTGAATACTGAATGCATTTTAGGGAATATTTAAGGAGGAGGCCAGCGTGTTGCTTTTTTTAAATTATTAGTGAATGATCTATGGCAGATCAGCAATGGAGTATGCACAGATATGCACCTTTTAAAAATGTAAGATTAATATGGATTAGGAATGCTATTCAACAAGTCTTTGTTCATGTTTCCCAGATAAGTCCTACAGACTTTCAACTAAGAATCACTGATTCTTAAGTGTCCGAGTGTTGAATCCTTGCCATGTGGCAGTTCTTTCTCTGATCTCCTCACCCTTTTCCAAGTTAATCTCTTCCATGTGACCAATTCACTTGCTCAATTTCCTGATCCCAATGCTAACTGAATATATTAATGGTTCGTTTTCCACTGGTGCCCCTTCTTCAAAACTGTTCTCTCTAAAACTGTCTCATCTCCAACATCCATTCCTCTCTACCCACCTTTCCTCTTTAAAATTGAACGTGCTTCCTAACTGCACATCTACTCCAAATCTCTCATGTGTTTCTCACAATCTGATTTCCATCCATTTTACAGCTTAAAAATTACTCTGCAGGATGTCACTCCCTAATTCTGTGACTATGATTGTGTTGTATTACACTGCTTATGCTCTTTTGACTTTTCTCAAACATGCCTGACTCAATCTTTGCCATTATCTAGATTGATGGATATTTCTTGCATGGTTCCATTTCTGCCTAACTGAATATAGTCAATACACACGTGATCAGCAGTATCTTCTTATCCCCTTCTAAGACAGCTCTCTCCCCCGGTCCCCAAGGGATTGTTTTGGCTTAACCTCATCTGCCAGTTTCCTTTCAGCAACATCGTCTGTAGGTGAGATTATATATGGCCACTTATAATGGCCACTTATAAAATACACATCTTCACATGTTCTCAGCCATTTGGTTGCCTCTGATCTGCCCATCCCTGTAAACATGGTGTAAGAGTGCCAGCAAATACAAAATGATGCAAGTCTTTTTTTTTATTTATTAGGCTGTCATCTCCGAGAAACAACTGAAGATTGTAAAGACTCCTTTAGGGTAGATTTTTCCTGCCAGTTGAGAGGAAAGACTTTCATTACACTTCATTCCATTCTGAGCTGGATGTAAAGTCAGGTTTTAAAAGTGAGAGGACATAGTGTTCACTTCCACCTAAGAAGAGGTCATCTTTCTGTCAGAACTGGAAGATACAATTCAAAACACATTCTCTGCAACACAGTCTTTTCCTCCATCAACCTAGGTGGGTTTAGAGTTCTGTTCTAAAATAGGACCAGTTTTCTAATTTGTTGCACTATCTGGTATCTGAAAAACACCAATTTCTGTCCCAATAGTTTGCACATTTAATCCAATGTCTTTCCATTTTTTAAGGCACCATCCTTAGCTACGTGGTAGCATCCTCTCTTCTGGAGCAGAAGACTGAGTGTTGAAACTTAATTCTAGATGATTAAACACACAACCTAGACTTCCAATGTTATGTTAAAGGAACGCTACAGTACTGAAAAGATGTTAAACAGGGTTTCCCTCTACTTTTTCGGGAGATTGGAAAAGATGCCATTACCTTTTTGAAAGAAAAGTGAGGCAATTCATCTACCTTGATGATCTTTTCCTCAGCTATCAAAACTAACAGAGTGAGATTATTTGGACGTTATCATGTTGCTATTTCTGAGACCATACACATTTGAGCAAGTTGGCTGCTGTGTTTTCCCCACAGTATCACAGTGACTACCCTTCAGAAGTACTTAATTAATTGTGAACAAAAACAAAGTTGCTGGAAAAGCTCAGCAGGTCTGGCAACATCTGTGAAGGAAAAACAGAGTTAATGTTTCAGATCTGGAAGGGTCACAGGCCCAAAACGTTAACTCT